TCCCTCAACAATTTGCTGAAAAATTATACAATTTGATTTAGTAATATTTTTTTTTTGAGAATCACTAATTTAAATTAAATAGTGCACTTTTCAATTTATTATCGAGTTGCTCATATTCTAACGTTACAATGCAACATATTTGCAACGATACATGGTAACATTGCGGGCACGTTGTTTGAAATCTATAGTTACATGTTATTTCACCCACTATGTAATAATGCGAAAACGTTTTAGTAATTGCATTGTGTTAGCTGGTAATTCCGTTGATTATAACTGTAGCATATATGTTACCCTCTCCAAGAAGGCAAGTATAACACAAGGTCAAGTAAATAATGAGGCCCTCATACATGCAATTCACAAAATACTCAACTTATACGACACTTTGTTTGAAATGCCTACGTTAACATAGCACGAGTTCGTTTGAATACAATGAAGAGAAGCTTTCTGGAAAGTGAATCCTTTTGGGTTAATAATATTTGTGATGCTGACTACGAAAGACCAGGCAGTTACTAAGAACAATATCCGGATATTAGAAAGCTATGTCTATATGCCAGTATTCTTTTCATATTTAGAAAGATTACTTCAAAATATGCAATAATTATTTATTTTTAGCAATATGACAAACTGCTTGCACAGTTAACAGTGGATTGCCATTCCAAACCATTCATATTCACTTCAAATATGTTCATTATTATCATTGATACAATAAGCTAACAGCGAGTTTAATCTGCAATTGTTAAGAAATTAATATTAGAAATTTTATAAATTCTAAATATAAATATTTATATAAAATTGTTCTTAGTTTATATCGGATTGAAAAACAAGAGATTAAAATATTCTCTAGTTTGCTTATTTTATTTTTTAAAATTCTTTTGGAAGATCTTTCTAATTTTCCTTATATACTTAATTTTTGAACTCTGAGGATTCCGAGAAAAAAAGGTCTGTTTTCTAAAGATAATTCCTTTTCTGTTTTCAAGGGAAAAGCTTATTAGATTTGGTTATAGGAGTCAGTTGGGGGTGACTGCGTTCACTTGAAAGTCCTGACATCTGACTCACGTTCACATACACGCATAACACAAAATCTCCAAATGTATTTATGTACAAGGAGGCTGAAATATTCACAGCTCAACCAAGAAAGCTTTTAAAAACTCACCTGCTTGTTCATCTAGTGACAGGACCCTGCTGATAATTTTTCAGCAACCTTCTTACATTTGAAAAACCATTGAGAAATATATTGAGTGATTAGATTCGTTTTCTATGGCTTATAAATCCTTGTCGGGTTATTGAAAGCTAGAAAATGTTTTTAGATTCGAAGAATTATTTTGGAGATTATAATGATTTAGCGATAAAAGACTTACTGATTAACACATAACTGAGAGAAGAAGACGAGAATTAATAACTTTCACAAGAGAATATAACAAATCCAACTGGAATTGAAACTCGGCTATCCGATAAACAATTTCGAACCATTATCCATTAACTATCCACACATCCAAGCTAACACTGTCTAGTATTGCCAAGCAGTCACCCATCAATGTAATGACGAAGGTCGACGTCACTTAACTTTAATAATCGTACGGAAACTGGTTTTCCAATGTGATGTAACCGTAAGAATATTTAGAAGTAGAAAATATAACGAAAAACCTGCTATTTTATCGAAAACATTTTACAGACATGACAGGCCATATCATGTATACAAGAACGAAACGTCAACATTCCTTACGTATTGCATTAAGTAAAAGGTTGAGCCCGGGTAGCTTTTTTGGGAGAAAGGCTACGCTGTGGAAGAGATTCCTTTCAGGATGCTTCTCTGAACACTGAAATTTGGACCGCTTCAAGTCTATTGAAGTGTTTAAGCTTTTTCTATCCTACATTTCTTAAGAATCAGCACGGACATTTTTTTCATTCGATGATTTAACCACAAGCAAGGCGGGAATACTAATAGTACGCCAGAGGTTGCAGGGAGTAAAAATGAGAAAAAAGACTGTGTATAACAAGGGTTGAGTAAAAGACAAAAGATTAAGGAATTCACGAAGATACAAGATAGTTATTGACGTTGCATTTAAATTTTTGAAGATTGTCATTATCAGGGTAGCAAATAAACGGAAGTGTGTTTCACAAGCGGACAGTGTGAGAAAATAAACTGCTGGAGTAGAAGTGGCGATTATACTAAGTTATTTCAACAGTAAACGAGTGGGACCTAGATGCCAAACAAGTGACACATTAGGCAAAAAAGTTCGTCAGCCGAGTTGCGATAAAAAAATATTTCTAGAAAAGACAAAGGGAAGCCACGTTACGTCGGGTAGAAAGTGACTGAAGTCGAAATGCCAAGTCAGGATCGTTTACATTACAGATCATTTTTTGGATTTTGCCGAGAACCTCGAGATAAATAGCAGGAGCACCCGGCCAGATATGGCAGCAGTATTCAATGCACGGGCGAATGTTAGATTTGTAAATGTTCAAGTTGGACTCTGATTGACTGTCGTACCTACACATCCGTCGGTATTTATGACGGACACCAGCCAATCATAATCCAGTGAGGGGGAACACAGGTGTACGCATATTTTATTATATAAATATATTAAAAAAAAGATGAAGCAAATGGCATAGACCAATAAAAAGTAGATTAAAAGATGCATTGGCATAAATTTAACCAATATAAGAAAATACTTAGCTTTTTCAAAATAAGGTAATCCACTGGACAAGGAAATGGAGAAAATCAGAAAATATGCATCATCTCCTTATTCCATATTTCTTCCCTGGTGGCGACAGCGTAGATGGCTGTGAATCAAGGAGAATTTGACGAGGCCACTTACGTAAATTTGATTTTGGTGGACAAATCTGCGCGACGGAGAAGCCCACACACTTGGCCAGAAGCGCGTCCCTCACGGCTCAAAGGGGATTGAGACAGACGAGATCTGGCAAACCTGGTTTCACTGGGCTCTCGGTTGCTTGGTCTGTCAATGCCCACCTTGGTTACACCAGCCCGACTAGCACTGTCCTCTTCTACTCTTTTGGCCGTTGAAATCGTGCAGATAATTCCCTTTTTCTCTGGTCGGTTAAGTTTGATCCAGCCACCTCGAACTTACCGCCATGAGAGGCCCTACAGTTCGAAATTCCAATCACCACAAGAAGGTTGTAGCGTACAACAGCCGAAACATTGTGAATATGGCAATAAAGATAAGGTTAATGGTCCGAATAATGTAAATAATGCATGTATGAGACTCTTATATTACAATTTGATGATAAAATTCAATTAACACTATATTCCTATTAATTAAATAAAACGAAAACCCGAATCAGAAGTGCTAAAAACAATTTTAATGGGCAGTTACTTGTTTGCCGAACACATCCGTCTGCTTAGACGGCGAGCCAAATCCCTTTTTGCAGGCACCTTCTCGTGCATATTTGTTCAACATCCACATTGCTCACATCTGATTTATATTTTCACTGAAACTTAGAGTTTCTCGAAAAGAAAGAATCAACTGGTATGATGAGCAGTTTGAATAACGCCAACAGGGTCAAACCCTCGACCGAAAGTCATTGAGACCTCGTAGTAGCAGAAACATCTCTCTCTTCGCTGATTTGTTATTTTGGAGCTATCTCCAATTTTTTCTTCTATAGTTAATGGTTTTTAACACCGAGTATTGCGAAAAAAAGCTATGTTTTCTGAAGATAATCTCTTTTTATTTTTTCAAAACCTGTTCACACAGTTTCACAAACAAGACCTGGATCAAATCGCAGTATGATTTTCAGACAATTGACAAAGGTACGGACCGTTGGAATCGTCTTTCCTGACCGTTATTATCGAAAAATAATCTTCCTAATAGATCGACCATGATGAGATTCGGACTCGGTTCTCCTGATCGGAAATTGATCACAATTTAATATCTTGTACCATTAATAGTTACAAATATGAACGCATTTCGTACAATAAATATAAGTTAGGAAAATAAAATTTGAAAGAATTAATCAAAGAAATCTTGAAGGAATTATAAAAATATTATTCATATTAAAAACGAATTCCAAATCTCTTTTGCGAAACGACCTTCATTACAGTTCGTTGCTGCTGTTATTTTTCTATTTTTTTTTCTATTTGGTTTCGTCTTTTTCATTTTTCTTTCTCTTTCCAATCCCATCGTCTTTGGTAATGTTTGACTAGCAGAACTAATCTGGTGTTATGCCAAGTAGCGACTCTGTGACACCTGGTGCTGCCATGGCATGTTGGTCTGAGGCTCCGTGTCGGTACGTAATCCGTTCACCAAACATTATCCGGCTAATTGCAAGCGCCCAGCAGAGGCCGCCCACTGATAGTTAATCTGTTGTGCAAGGCACCTGACCGAGAGGATTACGGAGAACGTCTCTTTAAATGTCACCCGCAGAAAAGGTACAATCTATTATAAACTCGTTCATTCTTTTTTTGCCTTCTTGGCTTCCTGAATAAAATCTTTTCTTTTGATTTGCCATTAGAAGTTCATGCTTTTCTATCAATCATTTTTTCCTCTTCATCTCTGAAAGATGGATTTTTATCTTTCTTTTCTGTTCAAAATGTACTGGCAGTTTCTTTTTCTTTCTTTTTTCTTTCTTGCTTGCTTACATTTTCTGCCATGCCTTCCTCGTTATTTTTCTTTTTCACTTCCATCTTTGATATGTTTTACTTTTTAGCGATTTTTTTAAATCTTCGTTTTTCTTTCTCTTTTCTTTGACTCATTGGTTCTTTCTTGTTCTTTCTTCCTACTTGTCATTTCTTTCTGTTTTTTTTTTTCTTGTCCTGTTTTCTTTTCACATTTCTTTCTTTTTATTCTTTTTTATTCTTTCTTTCATTCACTTTCTTTCATTCTTTCTTTTTCCAATTCCTTTCATATTTCTTACTTTCCTTTATCTCTTACTTTTTTTCTTTTTGTTCTATATCCTCTCCGCATTTACTTTTTTTCTTCCTTTCATTTTATATTTCTTTTTTAAATTTTACTTTTTCATTTCAACCGACGATTTTTTACAAGTTTCTCTTTGCTTCTCTCTAACATTGGATCGTCTATACACTTTCTTCTACGCATATTCTTCCTTTCGCTTTTTTCTTTCTTTCTTTTCTTTCTTTCTTTCTTTCTTTCTTTCTTTCTTTTCTTTCTTTCTTTCTTTCTTTCTTTCTTTTCTTTCTTTCTTTCTTTCTTTCTTTCTTTTTAAATCAATTTCTCTGACCCGTTCTTTTTATTCCATCTTGTGTTTTTCTCTCTACTTGCAAACTTCCTTTCTTAACTCCTCCCCTTCTTTTCCCCTAAAACACACACACACACACTCCTTCCCCACTCTCTCTCTGTGTTTCTGCTACAAATTCCACAATTCTTCCCCCCCTCCTCGCTTCCTTCTTGTCTTATTTCTTCTAATAAGATTTCCTTCTGTCTTTTCCAACTCGCCGCTTGATTGATCCGGATCAAGAAAATACATTTTGCAAATCAAAAACAGCGGGATTTGTCAAACGCTAACATATTCTGCGTATGTCATTATACAAAAGTACTTTATGCAAAGTGCAGTGAGGTTGAGGGTTGGCGGTCGAGGGGAAAAAACTGTCAGTGTCAGTGGTCACCATTTGCCGATATTCCGATCTCGCAAGCTACGCCGAAAAATATTACAACATCAGTAGGGTTCCCGCCAACCTACGCACGCAGTATAAATTTTCAATGGAAGATCATTTAGAAGCAGAAGATATTTGACAGAAATTTACTGGAAATTAACGACAAATGGAAGGAAATAAAATCAGAATAATGACATTCTTTGATGACATAAAATTTCTCTCTTTTCGTACACTAATAAAGTTTCAAAAATATTCCTCGAGTTTTTTTTTTATGTGAATTCTTACGAAGGTTTACAAGTAATGTATAGACTATGTGCAATTCTATAGTCACCGTTTGCTTTATCTCGAATCCAAGAATTTAATTTTTCTTTGCTGGTCATTTCTTTTAGGACGATAGCGTTGATGACTAAATTTACTGCCAGTGTATAGGTTCTGGCCTTGAAGCGTCCAGCTTCACCGTTTGGCTTTCCAAGAGTTGGTTGTAAGTGAAAGTAAATCTGAATACAAGAAAGGGCTGATGGCGTGATTTGTTTAAGGTGGTCCTCTGCTAGTCAGGAAGTGGCACACCCAATTTGGTTCATGCAATATGAAACATTCAAGATCCAGTTATAGTAGTATAATACTAAATAGAAATGTAGATATTCTTACTTCAGGAATTAGTAGCCTGCTAACATATTCCATGTCTTTCAGTAGTGTATTCTCTTTTACAATAAACCTCGCTTTCTTTCATCTACGCTCGTGTTGCTGTTCCTTTCACTAGAGTAACACTTTTCTCTGTTTGTAACATTCGTTAAGGATACAACAATGATATCAGAAAATTTATTATAACCGGATATTTCTGAATTTTCCGCTTCCTCGTTGACTTCCAGCCCTTGTACACTCTGATCGTGTCAAGTGTTTTTCAAATTTGACAACCTCCTCGGAATTTCGAACACAGCACTTAAATCTATTCACAGGTCAATATTACTCTTTCCTTGACTGAAAAAAAGATACAATCGAAATCATGGATGCATTACAGAATACAACACGGGATTCAACAAAGATAGAAAGGTACAACCAAAATTTGTGAATAAAACAACAAAGATGAAGACAATAATTAGCATTGAATGCTGTATAATAATATTAATAATAATAATAATTGTTCATCTGAGAATTTCTGAAAAAATTATCGGACACTTTTTGCGAAATTTCTTATACAAGACTATGATAAACATTTGTGCACTGATAAGGATATTAGTATTGTGATTATTATTGATAAGAAGAACAACTCATTAAAATTTGACGCTTAGGAAAAAATATACAATTTCCAATCTACTCATCATGGGATCCGGGGTAATAAGGATGTACAAAACATCTTCATCTCAGCTAATGCACGCCATATGGTTTCGGGTTTTGATAAAAGCAGCACAGAATCTTGTAGATATGGACCCAGTTAGAAATACATTCAGGTCAGGTAACCCAGTCTGTTCAGGCCTTCCCCATTCTGTGTTCCCAAGTATCAAGTTTTGACGCCCAGGTCATTGTTCAGACTCCCAAGCTGTGTTATGATAGAAACAAAAAGAAAATACTCTTAACATCGGACAAGGACGTTTCACCATTTCTTCCCCTAATGAGATACACAATACCTCAATCTCTAGGTGACATACTTATCGTATTAAATCCATATCACTGTACCGGATATTTAGTGTAGCTAATCTTATTTTACAAAGATTAAACATGTACATGTTATTACCAATCAATTAATCTCAGACTGGTGTAGTATGAGGATCATTATTATTATTATTATTATTATTATTATTATTATTATTATTTTTATACTTCTGTTGTATACGTATTTCCATCCGGGTCGCAAAAAGAGTCCTAAGGTCAGAATTGGTATCAGGGTATTTCACTGGGTATTTTAGTAAGTGGATAAACAAAAATGCTGCCTAAGACAACACAAACTTTACATAGATAAAGCCATTGGTAAGGTGTCGGCCGTAATTGTGAGTACAATTTTTTGTATTTCTTTAAGGTCTAGACATCCAGGGATCCCTTAAATTATCCTATCGGAGACTTTTCTAATCGCACCGAGAACTCCAACTACAACTGGAATTATTGATGTCCTAATATGTCAGCTCTTAAATTTCCACTTTGAGATCCTTGTATTTCGGAGATCTTTATCTCTGTCTGCAGGGACTGCCATGATAATAAGAAAGTTCATTCTGTCTTTTTGGTCTTTGATTTGAATGTTTCGGCGATTAGATTTGATTCCCATGTCTGTGTGCATTGTCAATTCCCATAATATTGTTATAGGTTCAGTGTCTGTAACAGGGTTTGGGTGGTGTTCAGACAATTTCAATTTCATTTTGCAATTTTCTTTCCCTAAATGCTGCAGATTTTTCAGTGCATATATTAGCCCAATCTCTCATTTCGAGTTTTATATTCAGTGGGTAATAATATCCGGAAACCTGACAAAGATTGTCATTTGTTTCTGGATATTTATCACAGAATCTACATTTTGGGTCAACACAGTTTTTAAGTATGTGTGATTGATAATTTCTAGTTAGCAAGCATTGGATCTTGTAGCAAGAATAAAACGTTCGATTTCAGCTTTCAACCCTGCACTATGTGGCCTTTGATAGGTACCGAGTTTGTTTACGTAAGTTTATTTGGTACGGGCAGATCATTGACCATAAAGTGACTTGTCATCATTTCTGTCTTTGGCCATTACATTTGCTTTTGCTTTCTTTTTTAGTTCTTCCTTAGCAGTAGGTGTATTATGGTTTACTTGCACTTCTCCACCCACTTAAAATTCCATTTTGAATTTTGGGCTTCAATTATTACAATTTCTTATTACTTTCATTTTCTTTGACACATCATCCAGTGTTCTGTTGCTTCGGACGAATTTTTGTAGTTTTGTAATTATTATTATTATTATTATTATTATTATTATTATTATTATTATTATTTTCTTTGATTTCTGGCGTTTACACATTTCTTTTTTTCGGGTGCCGCCCATGACCTAAGGTTAGAAATGGCATCATGACACTTTCCACTGCAAATATATATATATATATATATATATATATATATATATATATTACATAGATAAAACCCTTCGTAAAGTGTGGGCTGTACTTGTCAGAAAATTTTTTTGTATCTCTTTGAGGCATGGACTTCCAGGAATCCCTTCGATTAGTCTACTGGAATCTTTTCCAACCAGTCCTAGGTTTCCAACTACAACAGGAATTGTTGATGTTCCCATATGACACATTTTCGAATAATAATAATAATTCTAACCGAATTTCTAGAATGAGGATTTATCATTATTTATATTGTATACCCACGGAGTATTGTACTCAACTTTGTTATAATCACAACGTTTTCGTTGTTTGTGTCCTGCGTCCGTCAACAAATATATATCGATGGCGCTAGTTCCACTTCCGGTGTCTAGTGATAACTCGTCTTATTTTTTTTTTTATTACTGTTCATTTATTTCTCACTCTGAAAAAAAAATCGCGGCTGTAACAGGAGGGACGATTTATTGGGTGCAATCAAGCATAACAAACAAGTAAAACAAAAAGTAACAGATATCAGAGAAGCTCCCATCAATTCTAGAAATGATCGATAACAGCTACTGGATTTCAAATGTGTTTTAAGACAAAGATTTTATAAATTTCAAAGAAAGGAAAAAAAAAAGGTAGCAGCAGATTCATTGATTATAATAAGGCATAAAGAGTAGCAGAAATTAGAGAAGTTTGTAGCAATATTAGTTAAATTTAATTCAACTCGATACGGAACAGTCACTTTCGACTGATGGATCTCTGTAATTAGAGTCGAAGTACAAAAGCAAGACTGAGAGAAAGTGACGGTAGGAAGATTAAGGACGTAGATCACAGGACAAGGAAATTTGTTGTCTAGAAAGCTGACAATCCTGCACAAAGTAAAACAGAAGGTACGAACCAGGACACACAGAAAGTCAGACTAAAGCCGCTGAAATGATCACCTCCCCCTCACTTTTACCTTAACCCGCCTTCACTTATTCTCAGTAGTAAAGTACTAACTAAGAATAAAATATGGTTTGCTAAGAGAAATTTTCTTCTTCATTCGAGAGTAACGATCTGGCAGTTTTTAACCCACAAGCGTTTGACTGAAAGAAACAGCACGCTACCGCTCAAATGAGCGCCTACCCTCTCACTCACACGTCAAACCGACTTCGTTCACATATATTAAAAAAAAGTACCGAAGAATAAAATCTAGTTTACTACTAGAAATTCTGCTATTATTCACTCGTGGGCCATTTTAAACCACAAACGGAAGGGAAATTTTAAGCCACAAGCCTTTAACTGAAAGAAAATACACTCTGTCACGGAATCTAGTGTCTGCTCTGAGCTGCAAAGAAACAGGGCTGAAATATTTCCCCCCCCCCCAACTCCTTCGGGAGTAACGATCTGGCAGAATGGCAATTTTTAAGTCACAGGCGTTAGACTGAAAGAAATAGCACCCTGTCAACGAACCTGTTGCCTGCTCTGAGCTGCCACGGAACAGGGCTGAAATATTGGCGTCGTGACCAACGTCAGTCTTCGATTCAGCGACCCCAGTTGTGAGAAGTCGACAGAGGAAAAGAATAAAATCCTAGAGAAAGCGACCGGGAAAAGGAAAATATCCCAGTAAGTACCAATGTGATTTCCTATCGTTTTTATCACTTCTGTCATGGACTCCCAAATGTTTGCAACTGCACTCTCTCTACTGACGAATGAAGTTAGAACCTTAAGTATGAGCCTCAGAAATGATTCGTCAGCTGTCATCTCTCACTCGAAATCACAATGTTCGATGGGCAGAAGAAAATGAATCAGGCATAGAGGAGACAT